AATAAAAAATGCAAAATCTCTGTAAATGTTCATTAAAACTAGTAAAATTTAAAAAAAAGGAGACAGATCATATGAGGGAAGATGTCTTCCCCTTCTGGCATCCTTCTGGGCAAAAGGTAAAAGCCAAGGTAGGTTCTAGAACTCATTCTTGGCAGCTGTGTCCCTGCAGCCAGCACAAATGCCTGGGGCTATGATAGTGAGAGGAGTCTGCTGGCTTCACGATCAGCCAATGGTTACAGGACAGTTTCTTTCTGCATGTGGAGTATGGGGTTAGGTGCAAAGACAGGGGCCTTATCTTCAAGGCCACATAACTGGGTAGGGGATCACAGTCCCACTCAGAATCTTCTACTCTCATCTGAATCCCTAGACAATGCAAGTAGCTAATGTGCTCAGCTGCTACCTGAAAGGTTCATGGTTCAAGATCACACAGAGTGCTCTTGAAGGATAGTCTGGTGATCTGCTTCCAAAAGATGCAGCACTGAAAACCTCATGAAGCACATCATTACCAGCCTCTCTCTCTCTGTCTTTCCTTCTCTTTCTTTCTCACACTCTCACTCTCATCTTTATCTCTTTCTCTTAGGACTTCTAACCAGGGTTCTGCCATGATAGTGGGTTAATGTCACATTTAGTTACACATTAAACAAGTTTCAAAGCAAATTGCAGTATTCTTAGTAAGAAATAATAACGAGCCAGGTGTTACGCTAACCTACTACCTCCTCCAAGTTTTTAAAATCATATGATTATTTGTCATCCTGGAGTAGATATTTTTAAAATGTTTAAAAAACCCACAAAAAATAAATATCAAACATACAACCACTCTGGAAGGCAGTTAGGCATTTCCTCAAAATGCTGAACATAGAAATTCCATGTGACCCAGCTATTTCACTGCTTGGAATACACCCCAAGAAAATGAAAACTGAGGCACAAATGGAGGCTTGTACACCAACGTTCATAGCAGCGTTATTCACCATCACAGGAACATGAAAACAGCCCAAACATCCAACCACAATCAAATGGATAGAGAAATTGTGGTACATTCACCTGATGGAATGCTACGCAACACACAAGAGCAATGATTTTTAAATTATTTCCTAACATGGGAAGGTCTAGAGAGCATTATGCTAAGTGAACTAACTCAGTCCTATAAGGACAAATACTATCTAAGACAATTTTATAGAATTAGAAAGATAACTAGTAAAACATGTATGAGGATCCAAGGCAGGGAAAGTGAGAGCAGAGGGGTGAGGATGGGCGGGTAATCATAAGGTCTCACAATTTGATGAGTAGAGGGAGGGCTGGGTAAAGGAAATGGGAAAGATTTGGTGTGAAAAACAATGTATATGAACTTTGTAAGTAAATCAGTATCAAATAAAAAATTTCTTTTTTTAAAGAAAGTAAACATCCCCAAAATTTATAAAGGGAGAAATAGTTTAAAGAGGAAAGATTAACCAGGAAATTCAAGATGAATAATTGTATACCATATTATTCACTATAGAAACACCCTATATACCTATCAAAAGATGACTAGACAAAATATAGTTAACGTATATCTATCTTATGTAGTCGGAGCTCTGGTGGCCTAGTGGGTTGAGCTGCCACCTCAAAGGCATAGGGTTCAACTTCACCAGCTGCTCCATGAGAGATAGGTGCAAGGTCTTCTCCCATGAATTTAGTCTCGAAAAGTCTGCTGAAGGGTCAGCTATAAGTAATTTCTGGTTTGAAGGCACACAACAGAACGTACGATATAGATAAGGGGCCTTGTCAGCATAGTAGACTATATGATGGGTTGTTCACCAAATGGTCAGTAATTCAAATCTACCTGGCAAACAGGAGAAAAGTGGCAGTCTGGTCTAATAAACATTTACAGCCTCAAAAACCCAAGGTAGGGTTTACAAGTTATGATCAACTCAACAGCTCTCTCTCTCTCTCTCTCTCTGTGTGTGTGTGTGTGTGTGTTTAATGAAACAAAATTATAGCAACAAAATCATAAAGATAAATAAGAAACCAATACTTGTTACAACATGGATGAACCTTGACAACACGCAATGTACATTTCTACAACACCAGGATGGTTTTCCACTGTGTCACTAGATGTCAATGATAATCATGCTCTGTGTTGGGTCTTCCTGTTTTTGAAGATGTGCAAGCAGAAAGCTCCTTAGAAGTGTAAGAGGGGGAAAATATATGTATCTTCTCTTCAAATGTTACACGATGGAATTAAAGCTGAAACAAGACTGTTTTCTGAAAATTACTATAAATAATTCCCTTGTCCTTGTACTTATCTCATGAACCAGCCAAGGACTGTTCCTGGTGCCCTATCATTCTCTGAAGCAAAGACATTGCAAACATTCTTAAGCCTTAGCCTTCTCCTTTCCAAGCCCCCTCCTTTCAAGTCCCTTCATTTCAAGCAAAAGTCAAATTAGCAAAATGGGTAGGAACAAGTCTGTAAGGCTGAAACCCTTGACCAGTAGGGTTCGTCACAACCTTAACTTTTACATCAGGGATAAAAACCCAGACTGCCAACTGGTGTGCTTGTGGTCAGACTTAGGTCTGCCCAAGAAACTTTATGCAGAAGTAAAATGCTTTGCTGAGATCTTTTGTTCTGCCGTGTTTCTGTAGTGACACCGACTCATGTTTCTAACAATTTGGGTGCTGACCCAAGAGCCCATTCCCTTCGGGGAGGGGCTTTATCCTTCTTCCCTGAGTGAGATGCATCCTGCTGCCTGTAGTTGTGGCAGCCCTCAGGCAAGAGTGGTTGAAGCCTTCCCAAACAAACTAATCAATCTGGACTCTCAGAAATAGGAGTGAAAGGCCTAAAGCAAGGACCACAGTGATCAGGCAACTGTGCATGAACCAAGGTGAGGAAGGCCATGGGAGAGGCATATATACCCCCCCCCCCCGGTGGTGAAGATAAGCAAGACAAGAAAAACTGCAGGGATGAGAAGTGTTTCTTTGATGGGTTGGGACATCCTAGAGGTTGTGTCTATGTGTGTGACTGAGACGTGTCCTGGGCATGAAGCCAGTGCAGAGTCCTGACTGTAGATACATAGTGCCCTTATATGGTTTAGGGTAGTATCAAGTCAGTTCAATCCAAGTCAAAGGTTCAGACCAAGACACCAACTGCCAAGAAGCAACCCATGCTCCTGTGAAGGAAGCAGCCAGAGGAAGCAGATGAAATAAAAGTAGCAAAGTGCAAGAAACCTCCAGACAAGGGGGAGTAGAGCCTCTAGGAAGGAACACAAGAAACCTCCAGAGAAAGGGGGTGTTGAGCCTGTAGGGAGGAGTGCAAGAAACCTCTGGTCAAAGGGCAGCTGAGCCTCTAAAAAAGAAACACATAAAGAAATCAGGATTTTAAAAAACTCAGAAAATCAAGTACAAAGATGTAGAGATATTCTTCAAAAGGCAAAGGGGGGGAAAAGTTCTAAATTCCTCAAAAAAAAAAAAAACCACAAAAAAACCTATTGCTTGCTTTTGGAGAGCACATAGTACACACTTAGGTGCTATCTTGCAGTCATTTTACAAAGTCACTAATTTAAAAACTGTATTAGTTTACATAGGGTGACACTAAAGCCTTTTGAAAAAGCTAAAGGAGCTATTAAATAAGGCTTATATTTATGACTTATGCAAGAAAGACCTATAGAGACCTTAGTTACTATAAAAGATGTATATGCCAATTAGATATTATGGCAACAAGTAGCAAGGGAAGATGTTTTTCTCTTGGTAATTTTCCTTTTTAAAACTAAAGCCTGTCAACCTTGTAATCTGTAACTAAGAAGAATTAACTTTAACGCATAAATGCAAGCTACGTCACAGCCTTGAGAAGGTTGGAACAGTCAGACAGGGACATTATCACCAGGCCAAAATACTCAGAGAAAAATTAAACATATTATAAAAACTTCTCACTCTCACTGTTCTGTCTTTTCTTTATACAAGCTCTCAAGAAAGGGAGGTAGATTTGGGTATTATTATCATGACAGGAGTCCAGAATGAAGGTTGCACAGTGGAGTGGACTTGGAGGGAGGGATCGCATAACAATGAAAGAGTTTTTCTTTTACTTTTCAAGGAGAAGAGTGAATGGGGGTGGTAAGCAGGGAGAAAAGTGCAACAATGAATGACTGAAACCCTAAGTCTCTGTAAACATTCATTAAAATTAATAAAAAC